CCTAAGGGACCTTCAATATCATGTATAATCTCTCTGTAACTCTGGAAGTAATACTACTTCCTTTCTCTCACCTTTTATTGACCCATCTTTTTAGACAGCAAGCAATCCAGAGAGGGGACTGTAACTGTGTTTGCATGTATAGACATACGTATAAAAAATATAAACCAGATACACAGATATACATTATAGACAGATGGATAGATAGATACAGAGAGAGATGCACGTATATACACAGATTTTTATTTATCTACAAAGTATAGTATCTAGGACAAAAGGATCTGTGTCAATAGAAACCAATAGCTTCTAGGTTATACTGTAATATACATAGCAAAAAAATAACACATCTTGGCATTCTGAAAGGAATGCCCTTTTCAAATATTCTGCATCTTTTTTGTCTCTGGCAAGTAGGCTTGCAAGGGGGCTTTGATTATGTTGCTGATATGTACTCCATATCACCTTTTTGGAATAGTTAAACAAAGCACAGACCCTGTACCCTCTGAATAATATTAAAAGACAGTCAGAGAGAAAGACACAGAGGACTCCTTTCAAATATAGTGCTTGATGTTTGAGGCCTTTGCTTTCATTTGATTTTAGAATTTATCTAAATTCAACCATTGCATGTTTTTACTCTTAAAATTGTTATGATCAACAAATTAAGGTAGGTGGGAAAATATTTGTTTATATGTTGCTTTTTATCTCTTAGATACACGCAAAAAATAGCAAATGATACCCTCTGAAATGCTGACTTCAGTTGTTCCAAAATATTACAGGTAGAAGAAAGCAAACCATTCACTCTTGTCTTACCTGCCACCTAAGCACACACAGAACACCTTTTTTAACTGATTGTCATCTTGACAGAAATATTTAGATCAATTACAATTATTTCAATTTGAGTGGCAGCCCACTCTTCAGTGCCATTCCAGGACAAACATGTCACCTAGTTTTACATCCTTGGATCCCAAGAGTCATGCATCGTTCTTTGACTTTATTTCGCAATCACCCATTTAGACAACTCCTGACAACTATACACTGGCAGTGCATGCAATAAAATTACTGCTGTTCCTCCTTGTCATGAACAAATGAAATAAAACCTCTAAGAGCAAATCAATGTCTACTCTTTTTAATGACCATAATTATAGTAGGAAGAAGCAGGCAAATCACTATGAAGACTGTGAGTAGAAGGTTTAGTTTTGTCAGTTGTTTCCAGTAGCTGTTTACACTTTGCATGTTCATAGAGTACTTGGAAGAACAAAATAATTCTGTTTGGAAGCTACAACACAGACCTCACAATTATCATATCAACAGTACACTTCTGTATCCAAAAAGCTCTAAGTATTCTCATGGAGAAAGAGAGGCATCACATCTCACCTGTCCTACACCATGAGAGCTTGGTATAAATAGTGTAGAATTTAAAAGCACTACACAATAAAGATACCAGTGTCTGACAAAACCATTATTTCACCGAGAGGTATGATACTTCCCTCCGAAAGGCAATAAAAAGTAAATTCCACACTGCACTGTACATAAAGAACAGTTAAAATGAAAAATTTGTTGTGTGACATCCCATGTTGTTAACAATATAGGCAGATCAAGATAAGTGGGTGGATTTGGATCATCATCAGAAGACACAAGGCCATATTTGCCAGTCTATTATGTCATGTTTCTTGAATTCATGATCCTAAGAGTGCAATAACTTTTTATGACATGATGGAGAAGTTACATTTTATACATGCTCCAAATACACAGGCAAGATAAATGAATTAAACTCAGCAACTATATTGTATTTTTAAAATGTTATTGAGCTGTGTAGCATATGGATAATTCTGAAATTTAAAGCATACAAACCATCATAAAATAGTAATGTAAAGCAAACTGTGATTGCCAGATGATTTACATTCAATTAGCCCCTACCCTTGCCTTGTAAACCAAAACAGTAGGATAATATGATTAAGAAAATAATGCTAGAGATTCTTCATTAAGTCAATGGGGAGGACAGCACCAAAATCACATATAATATTTCTGGAATTGATGACTGACTTGAAATCCTATCCTCTTTCAGAAACACCTAATCCCACTCAGAAGGGTTATGACATTTTAGGAGCAATGTTTATTCACATTTCCCTTCAGTCATTCCTATTCAAAACAGAAGTAGATTAAAAAAAAATCTACAAAGAATAATTTTGAGAGAAAATGGTAGTAAAGTTGTTAGAAGACAACCCAGTTTTATCTGAAAATTTTTACTTTTATTATTTGGCCAATTATTAGTTCCTTTTTTGTAACTGCATTTATCTTTAGCCACTAAAAATGTATACAATATTGCACATCCAAACCTATGCTTTAACAATATGCTAATTATACAGTTCAGATGATCTGGAAAGAAATCCATTTTGCACTGATGATATAAGGGAGTGACAGTACAATTTACATTAAGAAATGTTTTCTCATTTTTCTCAAAAATTGGTTTGCACTCAGCCGGAGAAATCTAAATTCGACCAAGAGGCATCCCTCGCTGCTTCTCCATGGTTACAAAATAACATGACAATCTGAATGACGAAAAAGATGCACATAAGAATGGGTTACAAAAACTTCTCTGGACACAGGTACAGAGGGAGTCAATGTTTTCTTTTGTAATCTGATTAAAGAGATGATTATTGTATAGAACAATATTGCATGCTAGTAGCAGACAATTCTCAGTGACATTACTTCAAGCATTTTGAATTAGCTATTCAAATTTGTCTAAATTAGCCCCCAGGGCAGTTAACCACTCTAGATTCCTAACTTTTATGGGAAGAACTCTAACTGGAGAGGCTAATATAAAGGTTCCCCTCCTGCTTAAGGGCTTCATTCACATACCTTCCTTCACTTCAAGTTTTACAGTGCTGTACCACAGTGTGCTTTTGCACACATTTTCCTGCCACGTTAATACCAACCTGTATAGACAGAGCTTGAAAGAGAGTGATCAGTTCATTGTAATTTTCCTTTTAGTGTTCAAAGGATACAGACTGCATCGAATGGGAGATGGCACAGTGAGAATTCTGCTTCTTGGCACACTGCTTTTCATCAGACACAGAGACACAGACATTGAAGCACATGGAACTGGTGGGCTAAAAACAATCTTGATTTATTTATTTGACTCAGAGATATCTTGCCAGATATAGCATGAAAAAATTCATACCTGTAATTTATCCTCAGACTGATACAATTTATTACACTGTGGATTCATGGGGAAACACAGAAAATGATTTTCACAAGTTTTTTGGACCATGTAACTGTACAGACACAGCTGCACCACTATTGGAATCTAGTCACATTTTATGTAATATTAAAACTGTACCTATGCATAGCAAAAATAAACTAATGCATTCTAATGATGCGCCACAGATAAGACTAGTTAGTGTTTTCTTAGATGCAGAGCCTAAAACAGTATGGCATCCAGAAGCACAGACCCAGAGTTTTTCAAGATTATCAGCAATAGTGGACAGAACAACAGAAAAAAGATCTACAAGGATGGGTAATTCAAGTAGGTGATTACAGACTATCACACCAACCGTTTTTTATTTAATAAAGGATGTTTATTTAAATAATTTAGAGTCAAGCTATTAAATATTTCCATCAGACAAAATCTGGCATTTTAGAACATTTGGCATATGAGAACACCATCTTTCCGCAATCATGTCCTGGTTTCTCTTTTTATTATACATTTATTTCTCACAGAGAGGAACAGAACTTGAACACCAAACTAAAACAAGCATTATTAGAAGACTTAACAATAACTGCAAAGACAGAAGCACATAAGCCTGAGGATAAAATAAATCCATCATAATGCAATTCCAAAAAATAAAAATGAGGTTAATGTGAAACCTACGAAAATTAATATCAAGATTTTAATTGACCTCAGCAGGTTTCAGATAGGTCTTGCATATTCAACATGATGGTTCAGTGTAATTTTGTAGTGTTTCTACACTCCATCACCAGTTCACCCCCTCTCAGCAGTTTATGGATTTCTGCAGAAAACTGAAGTGTCTGAAATGACTCTCTGAAGTTACTTCCTTCTTTGCACAAATGTTTTCAAAGGCATTTTTGAATATGCAAAAGCAAATTTTTACAGTTACTGTTCTTCTTTTAAAAAGAGAAAGTCATGAAAAATGTGCAACTCTGTAGTGGTTTTCTCTGGAATATGTTAGGGTGATAAATTGTGGACTCTGGGGAAAAAATACATAGAGGAAATGAATGGCAATTTAAAACACATCTAAAATTCACTACACTAGACCATTTCAACCTTACAAAAAAAAAATTTTTCAAAACTACATTTTGCTTTTCAGATCACTCGAGTGACTTCTTAACTACAAAATGTTCATCCAAATTATGATTCTATTGTAGCTTTTTAAACAACATTTTCTGGAGGAAAGTGCTTGCATTTTTTGTGCAGAAAAAGTTGTTGGTTTGTTTTCAGTTTTTTTTCTCCAGGAGTTCAGGATTCCAACAGCTTAACAACTACTGATAGTTTAACAGCTCTTTCACTCTTACTCCATTCCACAAAATCTGAAAGCCACCCCCTAGAAACTGTGAATTTGATCAGTATTTCAACCTGAACACTTCACCACTTAAGGCTTCATAGGCAGAAAAACAGTATGATAAATTAGACTCACTATATCATGTCTCTGTTCACTTTCCTGGCATTATCTGCTTGAAGCTAAGAGAAGTCATAATCTGCCAGTTGCTGTATCATAGTCCTTTTAATGGTACAAAAGTGTGTACAATGAATTAGCTGAGGATAACACCTCATAGTTGTCCTTGTCCCCTTGTTCCACTTTTGTTCTTTTTGTTTTTACAGGAGAGAATTGTAAAATGTTTGCAGAAGTTGAAGAGATAATTAAAAAGCCTTTATTTATAATGGAGTGCAATGTTAAAGGTGATGGGAATTCTAGAGACAGCCCAAACATCTTAGGTGCCCCTGTCACAGTGACTGTCTTGTGATTCAGGCGTTTGACATCACATACCTGAAAGCCCCCAGTGCCTGCTTTTGCAGTCTTGGCCCTTCTCTTGCACTAGGTCTGTGAAACAAGAAGGGAAAAAAATGAATGCCTCTCCATAAAAAGGTCACATCCCCTGCATTCAAAACCACAATGCTGACACTGTACAAGGACATATGGACAAACGATTACCTGATACATGTTGTCCAGTTCCAGAAATGTAGGCTGCAGTTGCTGTGGTTTTTCTACCTTATACCTCTCCTTTTGGCATTTCTGCTGCACTACTGGCAGCCCCCAACAGGAAGTATCTCATGTGCTCCATCAAGTAAAATTTCCATTTGGTCTTTTTATCTCATGACTGTGGGACTCTGCACAAGTAATAATATAAAATATCTCTCACCTGCAAACGATTTACAATAAGGTAATCAATGTATTTTCTGTGATCCGCTTTACCATGCAAGAAAGTAGCATTCAATGTGTGGAAATATTTTAAAAGAAATTGCAACAAATTCCAATCATTATGGCTTTTATATTATTGCTTTCTCTCCTTGTAAACATATGTTTACACTCACAGCAGTTACACCAAGAAAAGACCATTCAGGAGTTCCTTTATTCACCTACCAAAAGGCATTGCTAATAACAGAACGTTTTCTAGGGTTCTGCCCGAGGGCTCTGGGGTTTAAACTGCTGTGTTGGCCTTTGCCTACCAATGGAGAAATGTTGATACCAATTATTTTATCTCGCCCACCCTGCATGCCTCTTGTACATAATGACATTTTTGAGGCTTTAAATCTCTTTGCTAAAGGCACTAAATGCAGATGTGTGCTGGGCTTGAGGCTTGTAAATCGTAGAAGGGAATACAGAGGCTGGCTAAATGAATGTTGGTCAAAGGACTGAGTCAAATCCCTCTGAATTCACAATCTAAAGCACACTAATGGACAGTTACCAGAAGTTAAATGTATGAAACTTGCTAACCCACAACAGCATGTTCACATATCTGAACCCTAAACCATACTTTTTCTATACTAAATGATTTTTGTTCTCCTGTGCTTTACATATTAGTTAGAGAAAATAATTATGCTGTAAATTATCTTATCTACTTGAAAAACAATTGGGAGAAGATGGGCCAAAAGTGGAGAGAGGAAAAGGGTTATATGGACTATTTACCCCTGCCCCAGCTTCCTATTTAATATTAAATACAAAGAAAAGCATAGGAGAAAAAAACAAAACAAAACAAAATCAAAACCAAACCAAAACTAACAAATTACTGGGTGTCCCAGTAACTTTCTCCTTCCTCTTCCCTGGGAGCATGTGTGTGGACAAGAGTGTGTGCATACAGACAATGCAGGAGTGTCTTCATTTCTTCAGTGGTCCCTTATCTTTTTACCTTGTCTGATGTTATGTGTTCTACCAACCTAATGTACCTCGTTATCAAACCTCCTTATTGTTACAAGGATAAAACTTTTCTTTACACAATAAACCAAAAAGTTCATTCCCACTACACAGAGCATCACTCCTTTTTTACAAGGGTCTTTCAGTTTTCTTCTTTCTTCTCATTCATCTTTAGTCTTATCTCCTCAGACCTGTCTCTTGGTTTCCACAAAAACAGTCAGAGAACCTTAAAATTAAGAGTTACTGTAATTACCCATATAGTGGGTCCATATCGTGGCCCCTGCATTCAGTACATCAACATACTGTGTACTGCAAGGAAATCTATTAGGAATTCTTTTTCTGATCTTATTTTTGTTACTTTCATCCAATGTATTATAATTTCACATTGAAATATCTAGATAGAATGGAGTTCAGCAATCGTGGCCACCTGAAAGCAAATAGATCAAAAAATTCTAATAAAACTGCATCCAGCTCAAGTAGCAACAAACATCTTAACTTGCTCATCTCAAAATCAATAACAAAAACATTTTTAATTTCTTCTTCTCAATATATGCTTTCAAAGTTGATTATTTTATGTTTTTCCCAAGTTCATTTTCCCTTTTACAGGTGGCTTTTCTATGCATCTTTGCATGACTTCTGTCTCTGATGTTTGCAATTACTTCCAGCTTTTTCATTCATATGTACTTCATTACGCTCTTCCAGATGTCATTCAATTCTGGCAACACCCAAATTGCTTGATAGTAACACTTTTAATAAACTGTAGTTTAGAGACTACCATATATATACAGCACCAGACCATATTTTGACTGTCTAGCATCATTTATGTCCAAGCATTTAAACTGGATGCATGTGGAGAATAAAATTTTGTGTACCAGTTTATTGATATTTGACTAAAATCTACAGATTCTACATCTACATCTAAATAATCTATATTTCTTAATTATCGGTATTTGTTAATATTCACTCATGAATTTTATAATGCTTTCAGAAAAAAAAAATTATTCTTTCCTGGTAAGATTTGTCATCTTCCTTCCTTTCATCTCTTCATCATAAAAGTGTCCTTCTTATAGTTTGTAGCCATTGTAAAGTTTTTATAGACTGAAAAAAAAAATAAAAATTTAAGTCCTAAACCAAATATTTTTTGTAAAGTACACCAAAGAAGCTATTGAAATCCTTGTTACGAAAAGCAAGAAATATTTTTTATAAAGAGCTCATGTTTTTCATAATCTTGGGACAAATAGTAAAGCAAATTCTACTTTGAAGTTGCCATTTTGTGTTGAACCCCCAAACAAATGAGGAGGCTCCATAGTCTTCAAAAGATTTGCACAGTGTTTCCTACAGCTCGCATGGCCAAATGGATATTGTTCCCAACTATCCTGGTATGAATATGTGCTAGACTGACCAGATCCAGGTCAGACTGACATGTAGATTATTTTGTGGGGGGTCTCAATCACATGAAACAAATAACATCACCAAATGCAATCAAGCAACATGCTGATCAATCTACACCTACCGTGTGTAGGCACATCTGTTCATGCAAAGGTGCAAAAGTACCTTTCGCCTCTTGGTGACATCTGCTTTTTTCTTCCCATTCACCTATGCCCCTGGAATGCTAAGCCAAAATTATCCCAATATCCTGTCTATTGTACTACAAATTTTGGGTTGTCTGCCAAAGCCTCAAACTATGTTTAAGGCCACTGAGTTGTCACGAGTGTGACAGACGCTTAGATTTAGCCCATGTTTCAATTCTGGCAACTGTAATCAAAGATCCCCAAGAAACTGCTGTGTAATCAGGAAACGTACCATGGTAAGAACACGGGGCTGCTACATCTACTTCAGTCTCTTAATTTGGATGCTAAGGTTTTCCCATGCTTACAACATGCCTTCAGAAAGCACAAGGAATGCTTTTGCGTTTCAGATTCACATTTTTACTATTACAGAATGTGATTATTTTGGATTCACATCTCATGCCCCATCACTTCATACTACCTAGCCTGAAGGTGGCAATCAAATTTTGAAACTGTAGTGTTTAAGTTACTTTGCCCCATTTGAAGTAAGTCTAAATGAATTTCAACACTTTTTTTTTGGTGACAATTTTCAAGTCCAAAAGGACTTGTTGATTTTTGTGTCATATCTTACCACTGTAGGTAAACCAGTATGGTTAGGGCCGGCCTCTTGTCTTCATTCATAATTATTCTTTAACTTAGCATGATGCCATGTGTCCAAAATTCCCAGCTGATCTCAGCATACATTTATAGGTTAATATTTAAACTACATATATATATATTGATTAAAATGTGAATGCACTGCACCACTGACCCTAGAACTGTGAAATAAAGACTGTTTGAGCAAATGGAAGGGGGATATCTTGAGTACTCTGAATGTTTTCACTGACGGTTCCAATGCAAATAAAAATTTAATTACTACATAATCTCACAGTTTCTGCTAATAAAAACATAGCATTTTGATCCAAGAGCTTTTCTTGAGTTCTACTGTTAATAAAAGCGCAGTTTTTATAAAAATATCCTTTGCAGTTTCTCAAATGCAACAGATGGCTGTGTCTTCTCTTGAAAAATATGGAAATAGTGTCATGCATCTCAGAAGTAGTCCATCCATAAGCTTGTGTTTCAAAAGACTATGATTAAAGATAATGTATCTTCTGACAGATTACCGTGTGACTATGAAAGAGAAGTATGTAACATCAAATGAGCTTTCACTTATCCCCAATTTCACACCCAGTCATCATATATATCATAAAACATTGGTATCCCTGTATTACTCCACTTTTAATTTCTCCCAAAGGATGATCCAGTCAGTAGTAAACTCTTCTCTGAATTAAAAGTCACAATTGGTTGAAACTGAACATTTGCACACCAGGCACAGAACAGAGTTACACATATATAGGGTTTTTATCCACATTTGCATGTGGTACTGGGGCAGTTGCACATAATTAGTGCATGGGGTTTTTACTTTTTATCAGAAGTCTGTTACTGAAGTAGGCAGCCCCAAGTCCTGCAGGGAATGTCACATATCCTCTAGATGTCTCTGGAGATTAATTCTGAGAACATTATAACTCTGAGCAGGGTCCATTGTAAGGAGTCAATCATTATATTAGCATTATAGCTGTTCTTCAATATTTGCTCTGTTGGAAGAAACAGAATATCTTTGTGCCTGCAGTCTTGACTCGAGGCTACCCTCCACATGCACACTAAGCTGTTATTTTCTTTTAGATATGTTTCTATCCTAGATTTACCTCTTCATTTTAGCAACAGTATTTACTTTTGTTAACATCTCAGTTACTTACAGTAATATACCATAGTTCTATAATATTCTTTGATATATCCATATTAGAAATTGTGCAGGCAAAATATGGGGTGAAAGATGCATGGCTGAATTTCCACTATGGTAATCTGCTTCACAAAGCTGAATATTACACTACTGATTTTTAGTATCATTATACTAACAACTATCAAAATGTAAATAGACATATACTTTGGATTTACACACTTTATTTTACGATGTTTGCCATGGAAACAGAACAGTCCCCGGGGATAACAGTTTTCCGTAATTTTATAAGTGATTGTACAGCAACTTCTGCAGACAAAACACAGCCTACTACATGTAGTACCATACTGCTCCTCTGTATTGGACCAAGGCATAACTTATCCAAAACCCACTGGTGTCACTTT